TACGTGCTGCACCTGGCCCCCCGTCAGCATAGAGGGAATGTGTAAAGRTCCCATCTTTGCCCTTTGCTTGTAGAAGATGCCTTAACGTGCAGAAGACTTCCCTTATATTCTACTTAAGAACTTCAAAAACTTCCATTCATTGATCTGATAACTACAGTGGCACCGTTGCAAAGCACTGAAGTGAAGGTATTCTTGGAGAAAACACATAGCACTTACTGTAGTCTCTCATGCTACACTGAAATGCCATCCAGCATCATTTATACTTCATCTGTGATGATTTTTGTGACTTACAGGAAACTGCAGTATGTGCTAGGACTCGGACTCTTTCATCTGGATTTCTCCTGTATGAGAAAAGTGTGTTACCCTTTAGAGTCAATTTTTTGGAAGTTTCATTTTTTAAAACTCATTTAAAACTCAATTTCACTAAAATAAATTTTYATTTCACAGAATCACTGAATGGTTGAGGTTAGAAGGGACCTCTAGAGATCATCTAGTCCAACTCCCTGCTCCAGCTGGGACACCCAGAGCACGGGGCACAGGGCGGCAGCCAGGCGGGTTTGGAAGACCTCCAGAGAAGGAGACTCCACAACCTCCCTGGGCAGCCTGTGCCAGGGCTCTGKCACCCTCACAGTAAAGAAGTTCTTCCTCACATGGAGATGGAACTTCCTGTGTTTCCTTGTGCCCATTGCCCCTTGTCCTGTCACTGGCCATCACTGAGAAGAGCTTGGCCCCCTTCAGATATTTATAGGTATTGATCAGATCCCCTCTCAACCTTCTCTTCTCCAGGCTAAAATTTCCTGTAATTTCCTGTACTCTAATACCATGATTCCACTCCCACATAAAGTTAGTGGAAATTGTGTTGGAGGGAACTGAGAGAAACATCACTCTTTAAAGTGTGATCACCTAGACTGCTCCTTGAAGCCCTTAAGATCTGTGTAGTACAGGCAAGTTTCCTGGATTGCATTTGTCTATAAATATATATAATATATATAAATATAAAAAAAAGTTATATCTTTTTACTTTGCATAGTAACCATTGAGAGGTAAATATTGCTTATTTTTTGATGCAAAGATCTAAGAACATGGCATTTCCTTTATACTCTTCAGGTTTTTGTTTTAAAATCTTTCAACTTAGAAAATCAGAGCTCTATTCAGAGATGCTATTTTCCACATATCTCCATATAAACAGAGTTGRTTTTGTGATGGGTTCAGCTGAGTCAGTTTCCATATTGTCTATGTGCAACCAAAAAGAAAAGCATTTTAAGAGAAAAACATGGTGGTGGATATACCAAAATCTTTAGGAATGTCTCTATATCAAATCTACCAGTAGAGTTTATTTTCAAGTTAACATCTGTACAAAATGGTGGACCTGGAGCCTGATGTTTACATGCCARTTCTGATGAAGGAGGAAAAAATAACTGCATCATTAAGGTAATTACCAGGGGCGCAGATGGCACATTATGTTCCTAACTGCCTCACTGTCCTCGGTGATGATTGGCAGAGCTGATGATAATTTCCTTTATTACAAGCACTATAAGGATAAAGTCATTTTTAATTTCTGTGATGGTGGGAACAGTGGGACCCTCTCGCATGATATTCTCTGTAGTTTCTGCAGCAGAAGTTTGAATACAAAGATTGCCTTTGACAATTGCATGCTGATTTTTCTTAGCCTCTTGATAGATTCGATAATTTGGCTATGAATTCAAATGGAGCAGAGATTAGAAATTAGCAGCCTTTGTGTCCCCTTGAAAGCCACCCAGCCCCTCCTCCTCAGGCGCTGCTGAGTTCTTTGCTAATCAGACTGGCCGCACAAGCCTTCATTAAACTCCATGTTGGGAAGCTGCAGAATTTATTGGGCTGCATYCTCCCTTCAGACCGTGACCGGGACAAATGGGCTGTGGTGCTGCACGTTGGCAAGGCTTTTGTTCGGCTTCCCCCATTCTCAGCACAATTAGCAGCTCTGCAGCTCGCCTCCTTGGGCAGGGAAGGGTTGCAAGGTCTTTTGGTGGAACTACTGCTCTTAAGGGAACTCACTTGGGGGATCACTCAGCTCGCTCGGTAGCATGGGAATTTAGCTGTGTGATCCCCAATCCCCTGAAAATGAGTGGCAGACAAGGAGCAAGCCAGTCCCATCTGCTTGGCACAATCGCTCTGCCTGCCTTTGACCTGCCAGGAGACAAGGAGTTGGAACAGGCCAGAATCTCCTTCAATTGGTAAAGAAATGTCATTGTGCGCCCCATCTGTCACTGGGATGCCCGAGGCTTGTCCCCACCTGAGGATSCTGTGGACCAGATCATGCTACCTCTTTTTCAAGTAGGAGTAAATGACAAGAGCTGCAACCTCTGTGTATTACTGCAGGCTACACACAAACCTGATTAGGTATCTTCCACTTAAAGTTATCACAAATAATACCAAAAAAACCACCTAGCTTTTTATAATAGTTATTAAAAGCCTTATGAGTTTTTTTCCACAAATATGTAACTCCTTGAGCATGTTGGAGTTTGCTCTGGGAGAATGAAAGGCCAGAGTTTTATATTGTATTTCTTCATCATAAATCTTGAGGATGATGCATTTTCTTTGGCACTAGCTTCACTGCTCCTTAAATGAAGTCTCTGATCCCTTCAATATTACTGCTCTAGAGGGAGTGGTATGATCTCCATTTATTACAGTCAGGAGTCAGGATTTCTGATTTTTTCCCCCAGGCACTGACTCGTGGAGCACTGAGGCYTTGGCTGTTTCCGTGCCTCAGTCAGGGCAGCAGAGGCAGCAGCCACGCAGGGCTCTGTGTGTGTATGAGTGTATGCTATGCATACATTTCTGTATATGTGTGTGTGTGTTTGCATACACACACATGTAATTTTAGATTTGTGTGTGACACACAATCTAAGCAGTATTTGCTGTGGAAAGGAGAGGGCAGACATCAGCCAAACCCCTCAGGATGATTGTGGAGCCCACCAGGCCTTAGCAGGATGAGGAGCAGTCGCCAGCCTTTCTGGCGCGCTCGCTGTCCACCTTTGTGCCTCCCCACAGGTCTAAGTCTCTGAATCTAAAGCATTGATTGCAGCAGCAGGCTCACAGCTTTCTGTTAGGGACCATCCAACCAGGCTGCAAGGAAAAGAGTGTTGTTAGGCTCTCCTCAGCCCACCTCGTCTTTAAGAGGGAGAGAGCTTCAGTCTGCAGCCACAAGTCAGAGAGAGGCTTGGGTACATGTTATAGGAGAGACATGTCTGGAGGGCACCATGCTAAACAGAGGAAGCATACCAGGGATTTCAATGTCAGCCTCACGAAGGGTGTCCTTGGGAATGAAGGTGGTTTCCTAGCACAGGAGCTGCCCATCCTGGACATTGATCTGAGAGTTGTGACCTTCTTTCTATACTCTGCTTTTTCTGCAAACACGTGGCAACACGTTACAAGCAGCAACTCATCTCAGACCATGTCTGAAAGAGCTCCCTGATATTGTGGGCTTGGCTGTTGATATTTTCGGCTGTGAGAAGCCGTATTTTGCTCAGACTAGWGCCTGGTTTGAACCATGTGTTATATAGCTGTGGATGTTCTGGCTTCAAGTTACTCTTCCCTCCCATTGTATCTTGATGACTTGAATTCCTTTAAGGCTTTGTTCCTTGCGTGGTTTTTGCTTTGAATATATCCTGGCCAAAACTATCTTCTTGTACTGACAGGGTAGTACACGGGTGAAGCCCTCTAGACCATAGAGCTTTAATCTTGTGATCTCTTCCTCCCAAGAAAACGATCCYGCGATGGCTCCTGTACAGACGTCATTGGTTGCAAAATAAATTGCAAGCACTGAAACCAGACAAGGCTGGCATGGGATTGGATTCCACTGAAATCTGTGGGTTGAGTTTGGTTCATTGTCTCTTCTTTTCTCTCAACTGTTTCGAGATGAACCCACTTGGACCAGCAGCGACAAGTGCTTAAGAGGAAATCCTTATCTGTTATCTATACCCCAAGTGCCTCGGGAAACATTTGAAACAGGCTTTGATCCAGGTTTCACCTTTTGTAAGGATGAATATGAATAAACCCAATGAACTACGATGAAAAAAAGAGAGCGGATCATGGGGAGCCTGGAAATCTTGTGACTTCTTCAACAATTTGTTCCTGCAATGAGATCCATTAATCACATAGGTCCATGGCAGTAAAAATTCCACTGATTAATTATTTACAAAAATATCCAAAATAGAAATGATAGATATCAAAAGGCTAATCTCATGTTGTCTTGGAGTGAGTCTTGGAAGATGCCCAATACTTACCAGTATTTTTAGTTTTCCTGATGGAGTTTGCTGGAAAACATCTGTTCCCAGAAACTTTCACAGCTGTACTGGGTTTGACAGCACTTCCATAGAGGTCCAAAGTGGACTTTTGGAAAGCAGTCCCAGAAGGGACAGTAATGTAGTAGCAAGGGCCCCTCTCTAGGATCAAGGACATGGAACACAAGTTGTGGGATAAACAAGAATCTCTGGGTAAACAAGAATGCAGAGCTGAACTGAGGCTTCCCCAAACAACGCAGAAGCCACCAACCTATCCAGCATTTTGGAGTGGGCTTATCCTTATTTTCCACAAAGGCTGGTGAGAGTCCTGGCATTTTTCAGCCTAGAGGTAACAACAGTCTCTTACTGCATCTATTTTTGTGAAGCAGAATTTTCTTTCTACAGATTTAATCTTTCTATTAAATTATTCTTTCCAAATCTAGACCTTTCTGATTTAATTCCTGTTTTAATTATGGTGAAATCTGTGCACGTTTTGAAATTTTGTAACAGACTGGAGATTAAGGGACTAACAATGTGTGAAGGAAAATGAGGAAAAAAAAAAAAAAAAGCCTGTTTCCCGAGAAACAAGTTTGCTTTGGTATGTCCATGACATCCCTGTGCCCCATGCCGAGCTCTGGCTTGGTGGCCAGATTAATTAGGGACTTTAATTGGGAACAAGAAACAAAAGAGGGGGGACTGGAAGAATATGACTTCATCCTCTGGTTATCTTACTTTGCAGTTTCTCACAGAAAGACACAGGCAGCAGACAGAGTTATCTACATAAAGGTCCTCTCCCTGGCTGAAGAGAGAAAGGATAAAAGTGAGTAAAGGATTACTGTTCACTTGGAAAGTCATGAGACCAGGTTGCAATATTAATTTTTTTCCAGACAGGTTTTTTTTTTTTTTTTTTTTTTTTTTTTTTTTAAGTCCTACACCTTTAAAAGTATCTGCTTAAGCAGTTTGTCCTTGGGCTAATTCTCCATCTTGTTCTGCCTTAGCCTGAACTTGCTACAAGCCAGGGAATTTTCAGCCTTTGTGAAACAGAAGGTGCCTTAATACTGATAGAGAAAATCCTGTCTGCTCTCCAAAGCTATTGCAACAGGGTGCAGGAGGGAAGGGAGCACTGGTAGTCTTGCATAAGGGATGGTGTCACGATTGGCAGCAGCCTTGGGGACATAAGAAAACCAACCTCCCAGCTTTTTTATCCTGCAGTTTAGGAGGAGGAACGTGGGCTCACATTTCTACAGGCCTGGGTGAAGGGGCTCGCGGAGGGTGGGGGTGGTAGCTGGTCACTATCCGTGTAGCAGATRTTTCTYCCCGGGGAGGCTCCCAACACCTATTCCACCTGTCCACCGTGATGCAGCCTGGCAGGGAGGCTGCCKTCCCCCTGGAGGGGCTCTCGGCATCAAYGTTGCTGCATCGCCCCAAGGACTCRGATAACACACTSCCCTAGGACACCTGCTCACCTCGCCTTTCCTTAATCTAATCCCCCTTCATCATTTAATTCACTTCTTAATTAGACTAAGCCTTGAGAAGTGCAGCCCAGTCTTTCTCTGTTGATTCTGCACACTGTCAAGCTYTGCCCTTCATCCCATAAAAACATTTACCTTCTGCAGGTAATTAAGTATACTTCAGATAATTCCTGTACTGATTTACTTTAATGATAAAATGTCAAATTGGTGAGCTATATGTGAGCCAAATAATTTTTGGCATGATTTCCAAATTATCCAGATAACCTTGCCTTCAGATCTGCTTGTTTTCCTGTCAAAATCCCAAATACATTTTGCTTCTCCATAGTAACCATCAAGGGGAAATGAGACAAACCTGAGTAACCTTAAAAATGTCACCATGGAGAGAAAGGATGCTGGCTGTTCCCTGTGGCCCCGTGACTCGCCCCTGTGGTTTTGACTCCTAGAGCCAAAATGTTGGGAGCAGAGGGCAACAAAGGGCAGGGACGGGGCCAAACTAAAGTGAGAGACTTGAGAAAACCTAGAGGTGAGTTCTGTATATAACCTGTTTGGTGAATCTGACTGTTGGCGACATGGACTATTATTTCCTTCCTTGTTTTGGCTTTTTTTGGGAATAGCTGGGTTGAACTTCCTGGTTTGTGCTGTTGCAAATGGATATATCCTGTTATGCCTGTCAAAAAATGACAGGTTTTGCCTTAAAAAACAGGATTTTTATGCCCATGATGCTCCTTTTGCATTAGAATCTCATGTAATTTGGATATTCAGGAATCTCCTCATTTCCATCCTTTATTTTGAAGGATGCATARGAAAGTATTTCTTAGGAGGTGCAGAAGTATAAGTTAGGAAATCAAGTTAACTTAGTTAATGAAGTTCTTTAAAATGTGGTAAGTACTTTGCACTTCAAAGGGATCTCTGTATTTACCCAATCTGGAGTGAACCCAGCCTGCTCAGCTAAGAGGAAGGGAAAGGGAAAGGCTCTGTCCCCAGCGGCAGCGGGCACGGAGGGGTTAACGGCRCGGCTCTAGGCTGCTTGCACGGAGGAGCAGGCTGCTGCTGCTCTTCTTGCAGGCTGCTGCCTTTCTTGCAAGGTGGTGGGCTGAAAAGTTTGGGCTCCGCGGCCTCGGGCCGCTTTCTCTGCCAGACGAGGCAGCTTTTCCGAGGAAGTCGGAGCTGAGCTCCTCRCCGGGCAGGGTCCAACGTGCCGCTTCCCACCCATGCCGCCGGTGGCTCGCCGCCCGCCTCCCGCCGTGCTGGGTGTGCCGGAGCCGAGCGCAACCTGCACATTTTTCATATCTGCCCTGCCCACCGAGGCGGCGGGGCGGCCTGGCGGGCGGCGAGCGGGCCCGGCCGCGGCGAGAGCGCCTGYGGGGCCTCGCCAGAGCCACCTGCGGCCCCTTCCTCGGAGCGGAGCGGCACAGCGGACCACAATCCTTCTGGGAGAAAGGTGCGGGGGGAGATGGCAAGGAGGGCGGCCGGGTAGACCTTATGTATGGACGAAGAGAGGAGAGGGAGCACTGGGAGACGCGCCCGGCTGCTGGAGCCTGCGGGAACCTGTAACACGATGCGCCTGCCTTGGGAAACTTCTCTTTACCGGAAGAGTTGGGAGCTGTGGGACTGGTAGGAGGCAGGCAGGGCTGACGCGTGGTCCCCAGGCAAGAAGAAGCTTTGGGAAGTTGGAAAAGTTTTAGCAGGGTGATCGTTGTGAATAATACCTGTACAATCAAAGCAGCATGCAGCGTCCTCGCGTGCCACGTCGGTAGTGCTGGTGCGAGTACAGCGGGCTTGAAAATGTAGGAGGATGTGGGGGAGGAGGGCAGCTTGGTTCATGAACTTTTGTGGGAGGTTATTTCTTTCTGATCAGACAGAGGAAAAGTAGGCTGTTTCCTTGCTGATAATGCTTCTCTGTGGTGCAAGGAGACAGCCCGAGACGTACAAAAAGAACTATATTAACTTTTTCCAAATACTGCTGCAGGGGTAGTGTAAATCTGTGCCTGTGCCTGCTGAGGTGTTCGAGAAAGGGAAGGTTTGGGAGCAGGTTTTGCTGCGAGATTAGCAGTGCTGAGCTGTTCTGTATAGAATTTCAGTGGGTGAGYGAGCAATTCACATTAGTCAAGTGCTGCATTGTTAGAGGACTTCAGTGTTTCAGTATTTGTTGAAAACACAAGAAATCCATTACCCTCGTGATGGATACAGGAATAAGCAGCTGGATTTACAAATACGCATACATTTCGAGCTGAATGCTGAAACGAGAAAAGCAAAGGTTGGTTAAATCTGGATGCTGTGGTCTATGAGAAAGAATAATTTGCTATAACTCCTTTTTTTTCTTCCCATGTTATTTTTAAACAGTAGTTTGCACTGCAGGTTCATTATGTGTAGAAACGTGTATGGTCCTGAGCACTTGGAGATCAGGATGTGTGAAGACATGGCCAAGACATGGCCATGGATAGAGATGGATCAGACCTCCTGAGTGCTGTCCTGGCTTGCTTTATAACTTCTGCTTTCAGTTCCTTACTGCCACTTCCAAAATGCTCAATTCAGCATCAGCTCTTCATAGTTAATCTTGTTACATTAGTGATTTTCTGGGAAGAGGGAGCACTAAATTAATTCAGCTATTTTTAAATTCTTCAGGCAAAAAAGGAGTGAGGTGGAACTGGTCTTACTGAAATAGCTATTACTCTGCTTTTCCTGTGCATAGTTACAAAAAGAGTTGYTTTTAAAAATTACTAGCCAATTCATAGATTAAAAGGTCAAAAAGCTTTTAAGTGATATGCAGCCAGGGTTATTTTCATGCCACAAACCATGGCATGTTCCTGACCTAATTCCTATGAGAACTGAAGTAATCTTTCRGAACAGCTCCTAATCTGCTTGAAACGCTCCAGTAGTGTTTTGGTAAGTTGATTGGGCAGTTAGTTGCTCTTGCTGTTAGAAAATCTGCATCCGATTTCTAACCTCAGTTTCTCCTCTGTTGCCTTCCTTCCAACTCTCACATTTTGCTTATTAGATCAAGGAGCTTTTTCCTTTTATAATTTTYTGTGTAGGTGCTTGGAGACTACTTGTTCCTGAGTAGACTGAATAGATTGAGCTTTTGTCTCATGGGAGAGTTTTTGTTCCATTTTCTTGTTAACCTGGGAACTGTCCCTAGTTTTTCTGCCTCCGGAACTCTAGACAAGAAAAGGGCTTTTGGTCACCCATCAGGAACCGTGATGGGCTACATACACAAGTAAAATGAATGCCCTTCTACTCCATGTGTCTTTCTTTCTAATGTTATATTCTTTCTTTTAGCCTCCATGTTGCACCAAGGGGTGATTATTCAGCTGATAATAACCCAAATCTTTTCCAGAATCACTGCTTCTATAGGTGCTCACTGTCCTGTAACATTGCCCTGCTTGCCTCTGAGCCACCTTAGCCGAGTGAAATCCACACACCCTAATTGCATACATGCATACTATTCATGACAGAAGGCGTTTGTAGACCATGGTAAGTGAGATTTGCAAAGCTGCCCTCAGGGAAAGGCTCCCCTTTGAATCTGCAGCAGAACTGGGGCTCACGGAAGAGGAGGGTTCTGGTTTTCGTGTGAGCTGCCACGGGTCACGCAGTGCTCAGGTGACCGCAGAGCGTCTGCACTGAGTGTGCCGCCTGTTTGGCAGCCAGCAAACACGGCAGTGCGCCTTCCGCCTGGTCCCGTGCTTGGAAATGTGGGAAGCAGCGTAGGTAGATGAATCAACCTGAACTTTCGGCTTCCCCAATTCAAGCTGAGCTGCAGAGCCATTCAGAAGCTGGTTGGGTCCCATTACGCTCAGTCTCGTGTCTGCTTTGCGGTTGCCTCAGCRTGTACAGGTGTCAGCTGGGACCACCTGAGAAGCACTGAAATGCGGTCAGGAATGCTGATCCAGGAGGCTTCCCGTGCTGACCTGACATGCAGGAATCTTGAGCAAGCTCCTCTTCTCAAGAGATTTTTATTCTGCTTTGCAGGCTGAAAGGAGGAGGAACAAGCAAACAGGCAGCTTAGTTAGATGAACTTAGTTTACGGACTATTAAAGTGTAGACAACTGCTACAACTGGAATTCTTGTTTCTCCACGTGAGATGAATCAAAGCTAAAGCTTCTCTTRGCTGAAAAGGGAATTACTTTGTCCCTGCTGGGGGTTGTTCACTCAGTTTCTGTACCCAGGCATTATAATGAGTAATAATGGAAATAGGAGGATAAAAAAGTTATTACTATTTTAATCAAAGATCATCTAAAACTTTCTCTATTGCAAAAGGAGACAGAAGTTCTCAGTTTGAACAGGGAATCTCTGGAGTGGAATCTGCGCTAGATGTGCATGGACATGTAGAGCTTAAGCATGTGGAATT